AAAAATTAGCCGGGCATGGTGGCACATGCCTGTAGTCCTAGCTACCCGGGAGGCTGAGGCAGGAGAATTGCTTGAGCTTAGGAGTTTGAGGTTGCTGTGAGCTAGGCTGACGCCATGGCACTCACTCTGCCCTGGGCAACAAAGTGAGACTCTGTCTCAAAAAAAAAAAAAAAAAAAAAGATGGCTACTATTAAAAAAAACAAAACAGAAAACAAGTGTTGGTAAAGATGTGGAGAAATTAGAATCCTTATGTACTATTGTTGGAAATGTAAAATGGTGCAGCCACTATGGAACGTAGTATGGTAGTTCCTCATAAAATTAAAAATAGAATTACCATATAATCTAGCAATCCCAGTTTGGGGTATATATCCAAAAGAACTTGAAGAGGTATTTGTACAGCCATGTTCATAGCAGCATTATTCACAATAGCCAAAAGATGGAAGCAACCCAAATATCCATTGACAGATGAATGGATAAGCAAAATCTGGTCTATACATACAATGGAATATTATTCAGTGTTAAAAAGGAAGGAAATTCTGACACTTGTGAACACATGGGTAAGCCTTGAGAACATACTCAAAGTGAAATGAGCCCATATAAAAGGACCAAATACTGTATGATTCCACTAACATGAGGCTCGTAGAGTAGTCAAATTCACAGAGATGGAAGGTAGAATGGTGTTTGCCAGGGGCTGGGGAGAGGGGCATGGGAAGTCACAGTTTCATGGGGACAGGGTTTCAGTTTTGCAGGCTGAAAAGAGTTCTGCAGATGAGTGGTGGTGATGGTCGCACAACATGTGAATGTATCTAATACCACTTTTTTTTTTGAGACAGAGTCTCACTTTGTTGCCCAGGCTAGAGTGAGTGCCATGGTATCAGTCTAGCTCACAGCAACCTCAAACTCCTGGGCTCAAGCAATCCTCCTGCCTCAGCCTCCCAAGTAGCTGGGACTACAGGCATGCGCCACCATGCCTGGCTAATTTTTTTCTATATATATTAGTTGGCCAATTAATTTATTTTCCATTTATAGTAGAGACAGGGTCTCGCTCTTGCTCAGGCTGGTTTCGAACTCCTGACCTCGAGCAATCCGCCCGCCTCGGCCTCCCAGAGAGCTAGGATTACAGGCTTGAGCCACCACACCCGGCCTGTTTAATACCACTGAACTGTGCACCCAAAGATCATTGAGGTGGCAAGTTTTGTTATGTGTATTTTACCACAATTTAAAAGAATTCTAAAGAACAGCAAATCTTATAATCCCTGCTTTCAAAATCTATCTTGAATCTGTTCAGTCCTTTCTGCCTTTACTGCCACCACCTTTGTCTACGCCTCCACCGTCTCTTGCCTGGATTATTCCGGTGGTTTCCTGAGTGTTCTTTCACCCAGCTCCTGCCCTCACCTTCTTTCCAACTATTCTGCACCCAGGAGACACAGTGACCTTTCAAAAAGCTTATTCAGTAAAACCATTAGGTATCAGAAGATACCTAAACTCTTCTAGAGAAATAAAACAAGAGGAAAAAAATAAGCAAATGAAAATGAAAACCAGGTTTTTTACAAAAAGGAGAACATAAAATGGCATCAGACTTCCTAAGAAAAACTCTAGGAACCAGAAGGCAGTAGAGAAATGCTTTCAAATTTCTACAGGGGAAAAAAAAAATTTCTACAGGGGGAAAAAAATGCTTTTCCACATAGATTTCTATGCACAGCCAAACTGCGATGAATTAAGTGAGAGCATGGAATAAATTCAAGGTAAAACACAGACCAACAACGAAAATCGTACTTCCCACGTGGCCCTTCTTGGGCCACGATAATGGTGACAAATATGCAGGTGGCATTCCCCACGTGCCAGGTGCTGTTGGAAGCCTCTCACGTGCAGGAGCTCACGCAACCCTCACCGCCATCCTGTGAGGCAGGTATTGGTGTGAAGTTGAGGCACAGAGAGGTGGAATATCTTGCCCCCAGCCACCCCAGATAGCAATGGGGGAGAAGGAAGATGAACCCCAGCCACCTGGTTCAGAAGCAGGACTCTTATCTCCTTGCTACTCTGCCCCTCACAAACATGGGGACAGGTAATCTAAGGACACCATGTGGCTCAGCTGTGAGTAATATTCACATGGTCATAATGGAAAATTCAAATACCGATTTAACACAAGTTACCATATAGAGTCATGGTTTGGGGACATGTAGAGAAATGTGTGTGTATGTTGCGAGTGGCTGGAGTCAAATTCTCATGGTTCATGGTACCAATGAATAGAGAGCATCTCACACTGAAAAACCAAGCTGGTTTGTCCCTGCCTAGGGACACTCAGTAAATGTTTGTGAGTGAATAATGTTCTAAGTATCTATTCCACATCTTCATTTGCACATATCCATAGCACTGCAGTAAAAAGACTGGAGAAATAGCTTTTATCTCTCTCTAGTATGCTGTGCATGTCATGGAGAAGTGTCTATGACAAGTTTAAGTGAAAAATAGCAAATTGCAGAACAGCATGATGCAGCAATTCTGTTTCTAAATGAATAGCATGTGTGTGCATGTATTTACAAACATACAGGATTATGTGTGTAGAATAACATGTCTGGCAAGATAGACTAAGGTGAGAAGCGAGATTGGGAAGAGGGGAATATGTTATTTGATATGCTGTTGCGTTTTTTGCTTTTGCAATGACTATTTGTTATTTTAATAATTAAAAATTAAAGATTTAAAATATATTTAAGTATTCAATGCACACACACAAGGTTACTTGGATCATGTCATTTCCCTGATGAAAACCCACCAGTGGTTTCCCATTGTAGCTATGATAAAAGCCAGACTCCCACCATAGCTGACCCCTCTGGCTTCACTTTGTGCCCCACCCCCACCCCCACCCACTCCAGTGCTCTGGTCCTCTGTCAGGGTCCCTCCTGCATTTGCACTTTCCGTTCCCTAGAACACCCTTCCCCTACCTACCTTACCTGTGCCATTACTTCTCTTGGCTCAGATTGCAGCTTAACCGCCACCTCCTCAGCAGCCTTCCTGGCCCATTTAAGTTAAAGCGGCCACCCGCACCAGACACCTGCACTACAGGTGTGACTGGCCACAGTGAGGGAGGGAGCCAAGGCCGGACGCAGGTCCAGCCCCAAAGCCTTTGCGCTAAGCTTCACTGCCTAACAGTGTGGATGTGGAGACATGCAGGAATTGGTAGAAGGATGTGGGGGTGTCTCTATTCTTGAGTCTTCAGACAGTACCTTCCAACAGGTTTTAGAAAGGGACAACACCAATGCCCAGATTGGCAATGATTCAGGGCCGAGGACACCTGGGGACGCTGGAGGAGTCTCTGGAGGAATTGGGGTCCATGCCCAGGCCTCCTACCAGGGGTCACTCCTAGAGCCCAACCCCAGATAGAAAGAACCTACCTGGGCCCTGAGCCAGGAGAACACAGTCTTTCGCTCACGTGCTCACTCTGCCAGCCCCAGCCCCAGGCCTAGCTGGTTTCTGGCTGTGGGGACAGCACCCTCATATTACAGGAAGGAAAGCTGAGGCTGCAAGACCCAAAGGAAATGCACAACCCAGTGACCTGGCGAGGGGACCGGCCCAGGGAGAAAGCATCCCTGAGGGAGGAAGGGATCCCGCTGTGCTGCTTGCTGGGACGTGGGCCACCAGGGGGCGCCAGTCCTCAGGCCCAGAGGGACCCTCTCGTGCCCTGAACTGTTTGGTGGACAGGTGGGTGTGTGGACCCGGTCATACAGATGCTGATCTTAATCCTGGTGGGGCAAGCAGGGCCTATGTTGGTTGGATGAAGGAGACTTTCTATGTTGCCTGGATTTTCCACAGAGAGGATGTATTTCTTATATAATTACAAATAAGTTTGAAAGAATGAAAAGGATTTTTTTTTTTTTGAGACAGAGTCTCACTTTGTCACCTGGGCTAGAGTCCCATGGCATCAGCCTAGCTCCCAGCAACCTCAAACTCCTGGGCTCAAGCGATCCTCCTGCCTCAGCCTCCTGAGTAGCTGGGACTACAGGTGCATGCCACCATACCTGGCTAATTTTTTCTAGTTTTAGTAGAGACAGGGTCTTGCTCTTGCTCAGGCTGGTCTCAAATTCCTGAGCTCAATCTATCCTCCCACGTTAGCCTCCCAGAGTGCTATAGTCTTACAGGCCTGAAAAGGATATTTTAAAGCCTTTCTAGCCCTAGGGTTCTGAAAGATGCCTGTGTGTTCCCAGACATGCCCTTGAGGTGTATCCACCACCTACTCCCAGGTGCGCTACCAGGTACAGTCCTTATAATGGTTGCCAGGTGCAAGTTCCACATGACGCTGCTACCCGGGTTTGGCATCCAGGTGGAAGGGCCCTAAGTATGGACTCGCCACCTGTAGCAGCCCCAGGCGTGCCCACCAGCCTGAGGCTGCCGCAGACACATCTGCAGAACGGAGCTACAGGTGTGACTGGCCACAAGGTATGGCCTTCAAAAGGTATGTGACACCTTCCTCCACTGCATCGCCTCTGCACTCTGGGGCTGCAGGCACCCCAGTGTCTGGCCTGGCTGGGTCTCAGAGAGGGTCCCCCACCAAAGACTCGCCCACTGACTGGGCCACCTCGCCTTGGGTTCAGGGATGTCCACATCAATAAGCCAAGATCCACTTCAGGTGACCTCTCACTGCCCCCTGCCCAGGTCCCAGACAGCTGAGGCTTCCTGTCTCCTGACGGTGCGACCCAGATGGAAGGATCCCCTGGCCCAGGGCTCTTCCTCAGCCCCATCCCAGCAAACTGCGGGCCTTGGCCTCTGCTGGACAAGGGGTCCTCTGAGGCTTTCCCTTGGCCGGGCAGTCCCCACCTGGGGTGATGTGACTTCCAGGTGAGTCTGGCAGTGTGTGGAGACATTTTTGGTTGTCAAGGTTGGCAGTGCTACTGGCATCTGGTGGGCGGAAGCCAGGGAGGTGCCAAGCCTCCTACAGTGCATGGACAGGCCCCCGAAATATAGAAGCACCTGGCCCCAAATGTCAGCAGGGCCATGGTTGTACTCACCGCTGTGGCTCTCCCCATCACTGCTGAGATAGGGGTAATATTCGTGCGACTGGCGTGGGTACAGATCCGTGTCGTAGGGAACCAGGTCTTCCGATGGCTGCTGAGAGAGGAGGTGTCAGGGCCTGGACTGAGGTGGGGGACCCGGCCGGGTCTGCAGTCCCCGGTGTGTTGAGTCAACACCACCCTCCCCGAATGGCCGCCTCGGGCCTGCAGCCCTCTCTCTGCTTGGAACTGGGACAGAAGGTGGGCAGGAGACCCAGGAGAGATGAAAGGGGGTCACAGGGACCAGGAGGGGTCAGAGGTCAGAAGAAGTCCAGGCCCTCCCCCTGCTCGGCCACCCCCCACAGCCACCCCACACTCACCCCGGTGTGCTGGGCCCCACCCCACACCCTGGCCCTCTCGCAGTCACACTGGAGCACCAACACCCCCACGTCCACGTGCTCCCCACGACACCTGCACCCAGAGTCCCATGCACGGACTCTCACAGCCACCCCCGCCCACCCACACGGTGCACGCTCACACAGACACGCACGCACCGTGGCACACTCACCCTGTAGGCACGCACGGAGCCGCACTGGCTGACACTGAGTGCACACCCCACGCTCCAGCCATCGGCACGCATGTTCACAGTCACAGCCTCCCGCAGAGCCGCTCACATCCCACTGGCACACTCGCCCACGCAGCACACGTTTTCCTGCCCCCACGGCCTGCCAGCCCTCCACTCGCTCACAGCCCAGCCCCGGCCCAGGCAGGTGCCAGGCCACCACCATGACCATCCAACTGGGGTTTATACCGAGGTCGCCTGGGAAGGCCTGGGGGGCCAAGGGTTGGAGGATCAAGACCCCTCTCACACCCCCTTCTCCCTCCCTTCTATCCTCTGTCTTCACTCCCCCCTCCCCTCCCCTCCCCTCCCCTCATCCTCTTCCTCCTCCTCCTCCTCCTTTGCCTCCTCCTCCTCTGCCTCCTCCTCCTCCTCCTCCTCCTCACTCCTCCTCCTCCTCATTCCTCCTCCTCCTCACTCCTCCTCCTCCTCCTCACTCCTCCTCCTCCTCTTCACTCCTCCTCCTCCTCCTCTGCCTCCTCCTCCTCACTCCTCCTCTGCCTCCTCCGCCTCCTCCTCCTCCTCCCCACTCCTCCTCCTACTCTGCCTCCTCCTACTCCTCCTCACTCCTCCCCCTCCTCTTCCTCCTGGTCCTCCTCTCCTTCCTCCTTCCCTCCTCCCTGGCCTCCTCCTCATCCTCCTCCCCCTCCTCACCACTAGCAGGCACAGGGACATGCACACCCAAAGCCTTCCCAACAGTCATCAGGCCTCTCCCCACCCCCGCAGTGTGTGCCTAAGGATTGCACAACAGTTACTCTGGCCCTCAGGGCTTAGCTTGGGGACCAGTGTTGCCTTGGGAGCCCACCCTCCCAGGAGACACTCAGAGTAGCCCCGGGGCTGAAGAGAAAGGCTGAGGGGTCTGGGGTAGGAGCCTGAGAAGATCTACCTTCTGTGCAGCTCCATCTGGAGTGCAGGGATTGAGGGGTCAAGGGTCAGAGACAGTGCAGCCAAGCTCCTGGGCCTGCGGCTTCCTTGAGGCAGAGTTGGCTGGAACAACCTCCATTCACTGCCCCCTTCCTGGTCCCCCAGGCCGGGGCAAGGGGCCAGGGTGCAGGGTGGGGATGCTGAAGGGGGCTGCTGCTGGTCCTGCCTGTGTCTGGCCGAGCGAGGAGGCCAGGAGCCCAGCACTGAGCCAGCCCTCTGGGTTTCCAGGCAGCATAGGACGTCAGGCCCTGTGATGTCAGGCCTGGGCCGCCTCCTGGGGCTCTAAGTCTGGGCTGGGGCAGGGGAAGGGAGCTGCCTCTGGGCCGGGAAAGCTGAGTCAGGTGGGCAGGCTCTGCCAAGCCTTTCCCGGCTCCCCCTAAACCCCCCACCCCTGAGAGGACATGGGTGGGAAAAGGGAGAAGGGTCCTCTCAGGGGGACCCTGGTCTGACACCTGCCTAAGGCTGCAACTGTCACTGAGAGCAGGAGCAGTGGAGATCCCCAGCCTGTTGCCCTGCCCTTCCCTGGGTCCCCTGGGGCTCCCTGTCCTTGTCCCAGACTCAGCCCCCACCCTAACTCCAGTCCCATGCACAGCCCAGGTCCTGCCCCAGCCCCAATCTCAGTCCCAGCCTTGTCCCAGCCCCATCCCCTGCCCTGCCTCTCCCCAAACCCCAGCTCTGGCGCCAACCCTGCCAAGCCCCAGCCCCAGCCTTCCAGGGACCTGTGGGCCCCTGGCCCAGACCCTTTTGTCAACAGCCGTGTCCTCTGGGCCAAGCCCCAGACTGGGCGTTGGGGACCCAGAGTTCCATCAGCTCAGTCTCCAGGAGCTCCCAGGCCATGGGCCGAGACCTCTGCCTGTTGCCTCCTGCCCTCAACTCCTCCCGTCCTGGGGACTGGGCTCCCCCAAGCCAGTCCCACCATCTTCTCCTCCACCTCCCTGCTGCCGCCCTCAGCCTAGCACCCTGCCCTGAACCCAGTCTGCCACCCAAGCCCCATCTATAAATAACCGTTCAGGCCCCACCGATCTCAGGCCCCACCGATCACAGCCCAAGCCCAGCCCTCAGCCCGCCAGGGCACACTGAGAGCAAGCCAGTGGCCCCCTTACTGGCTCTCGGGCCAGCAGCTCCAGGGAGGAAACACTGACTTCCCACTGATAGCAAGCCGGGAGGGCAGCGGGTGGGCTGGCGGGTTCCTGGGCAGGCGGGCGGGCGTCCGAGGGCCACGGGTTGGGCTAGCGCAGGAGTCCCAGTACTCACAGGGGGGACGAGGGGAAACCCTTCCATTTTGCACGCCTGTAACATCCAGCTGAGCTCCGAGCCAGTCAGATCCCCTGCCTCAGTGGGGGCCAATGCAGAGCCCCTCAGGATGGGGTGCCCCGTTGGGGGGCTGGGCGGTCACGGGGCGGGCGCAGGGCTCAGGCCTGCCCCCTGAGCTACAGGAGCCCTGGGTGAGCCCCCTTCCTTGACATTGCAGGGCCAGCACAAGTTCCTGATTTTATCGAAGGGCCTGCCTCTGGGAGATAGTCCCCTTGGGGTGACATCACCGCCCCAGCCTTTTGCATAAATCTCTTGCGCTACAGGAAGTCTCTGGCCGGCTGGGGCAGGTGGTGCTCAAGGGGCTGGCTGGGAAGCCATGGGGTTCCAGGCCCCCTGCCCAGAGGAAGCTGGGACTGAGAGGGGTGGCTTTGGGGGCTGGGTTGAGGAGGGAGGGTGGAAGCTTTGCTGCCCCCCCCACCCGGGGCCCTGCTGAACCTTTCCAACCCCTAACGCAACAAATGCCTGCTTTTTTTGAGACCCCGACGGGGCCACAGTCACCTCCTTGGGGTCAGAGCTGGGAGGGGTGGCCTCTTGGGACCTCCAATTTCTAGGGTCAGCCTTGCTGGCTGAGGGCTCTGACATAGCAGACTGCCAGGCCTGGCTCTCCCCGTGGGCCCTGCACCCCACTGCCTAGGTTCTACCTGGGCTGGCGCTGGGCTCAGGGGTAGAGTCTTCAACAGAGTGCTGCTTTCTTCCTTCCCTCTGAATCTCTCATGGGCTTCCCTTCCACCAGAGGAGGGTCCTGGGTTCTCACACCCTCCCCTCGTAGCTTCCTGAGTACCACAGCTGCTTCCAAATCCCTAGGGCTGTGTTCCCAGCCCAGATTTCTCAGTTTCCCCACCCGTTACCAAGGTCTGCATATCAATCTAGTCTTCCTAATTTACAAACCTTTTTGTCTGTTCATCCATTCATCTGATTTCCCATCCATCTGTCCCTTCATCAAGCCTACCATACATTTATCTATCCATTTATCCAACTGTCCATTTATTTGTCAGTCATCTACCCACCCATCTGTTTATCTGCTTGTCCATCTAGTCATCTGTGTGTCCATAGATAAGCCCATCCATCTGCTGTCAATCCGTTGTTTCATATTTCCATCTGCTTATCTACTGTATAGCCATCTAGGAATCTGATCATCCATTGGTTCATCTGTCCATCTACTCATCCATTCATTTACCTACCCATCCATTCCATCTATTCACCCATCCACCCATCCATTCATCCATCTATCCCTACATCCACTCATCCATCTATCCCTTCATCTATCCACTCATCCACTCACCATCTATCCACCCATCTGCTCATCCACCTATCCACCCATCCACTCATCCATCTATCCCTCCATCCATCTACTCATCTACTCACTACCTGTCCACCCATCTACTCATCCACCTATTCACCCATTCACTTATCCACTCATCTATCCCTCCATCCATCCACTCATCCACTTACCACCTGTTCACCCATTCACTCATCCACCTAACCACCCATCCACTCATCCACTTGTCTATCCATCCACTCCTCCATATATCCCTCCATTCATCCACCCATCCTCTCACCACCTATCCATCCATCCATCCATCTACTCATCCATTCATCTACCCATCTATTCATCTATCCATCCATGCATCTTCCCAATATTAAGTGACTTCAAGACTCTAAGCTGAGTGCTGGGAAAACAGAAAAGTATTGTACAAGATCTCTGCCTTCAGAGAGCTCCTGATCTAATCTGGAGGGTAGAGGGATGAGTAGAGGCAATTTTTTGTCCCATGGATCTCTGATGAGTCCACTCTGCTGGAAAAGTACTTCGTTGTTTTTTTTTTTTTTGAGACAGAGTCTCACTTTGTTGCCCAGGCTAGAGTGAGTGCCGTGGCATCAGCTTAGCTCACAACAACCTCAAACTCCTGGGCTCAAGCAATCCTACTGCCTCAGCTTCCTGAGTAGCTGGGACTACAGGCATGTGCCACCACGCCTGGCTAATTTTTTCTATATATTTTTAGTTGTCCAATTAATTTTTTTCTATTTTAGTAGAGAGGGGGTCTCGCTCTTGCTCAGGCTGGTTTCAAACTCCTGACCTTGAGCAACTCCTCGGCCTCCCAGAGTGCTAGGATTACAGGCGTGAGCCACTGCACCCGGCCGGGGAAAGAACTTCTTGAGCACTCAGTTTCCTCCCCTGTGTAATTTACCCCCTTGCTTTATGTTCCCTCCCCACTGAGACAAGCCTGCCTTCTTCTTGCCAGTGGATTTCCAGGTCCTCAAGT